GAATGACGCTCCATGTGACGAGGAGACGACATGTTATATGGTATGTACAAATTTCTAGTACGATTCTATTATAACTTAACTAGATATGCTTATGATGAAACATGGTAAGAAGAATTCACACAATGACTCTCTTTGGTGCTAGAGATAAAGCAGACTCTAGATATTTGGGACAAGGTATTCCATGACATAGTTGGAGAGGATGGTCATAGCTATATGCGGACTTATGGTTCAGGAGTCGTGTGGAGTGATGTATACGGCCAAGCCTCCATTTCATCTCAAGTATCTGCAGGCTTGGAAAGAAATAGGATGCGTCAAGAGCTACGAGAGGAGTTAAGAGAAGAGTTTCGAGACGAGATTAATGATATGCGTCAACAACTTGATTTGATACGTTCTCGCCAGGAGGAGGGTGGATGCTCTGGGGTTGGACCGGTGGAGTATAGTGAATAGTTGATATTGTTGTTTCAATACCTTATCAATTTTCAAAATGTGTAGCTTAATATGTCTTTAAAATGTCGTAGGTTCCAGATACATCTAGTACTCCTAGGCCACACGAAGATGGACATACACCAACTACACAGGTGCAATACAAATTACCAATACACTCGCCATGTCCATGGTCTTTTGAAGAGGTTTGTATAAAATATCTTAGTTTTTTAATTTGCAACATATTTTTTCACGTTGGCAATATGCTTGTTTTTGATCCATTTTCCATAAAAACAGGCATACACCTACTTTTCGGTGATAGAAAAATATAAAAAAGTAAATGATCTCGATACGATCCCCGACGAGAGAATTTGACTAAAAACTAGTATATTAACTAATGTAGTATTGCCTGTTTTTTTTTTGTAGACATGTTTTCTTAGGGCGAAAATGAGAAAGCATGCACAAGGTTTGAATAATACTGAGGTAAGTGTATGTGTATGGTAAAAATAGTGTATAACAATGTGTGATACATAGATTTACAATTGTAATTTTTTTTTTCAATTGTATTTGTTTTGGCTTCTAAAAGTTGTTAACACTTGTGGTTGTATGTTTATAAAAAAGTAGACCTCTTTAGTTCTCATTTACCAAGACAAGTAGTGGCGAAGGGGATCTTTCTTAGTGTGGACCCATCAAAAGAAGTAGAGAGAGTATCATAGTGACCTGATTTTTCGAACGTATATGTTCAAGTAATAGTGTCTAATACTTATTTGATAAGACCTTTTCTTGGTGTAATTACAGTTGGGCAGACAGTGGAAAAAGTGTTACTTGGCCGTCTAGTGATGTATGTTTTATCTTAATTAATATGTATATAATTAGTAACCACACATATTATTGACAATAATAACACAAATCATATCTTTTGCAGGTGCTATCAAATGAGTAGATAACGTAAACAATAGATGACGCATGGGTAGAGAGTACATATTATGCATGATTACAGAGCAAATGGTGCATTGAGAGACTAAATTTTTTTATTATGCATTGACACTTTTATTACGTAGTTTGAAATATTTTGTTTTTAAAATTTCGGTTGCTATTTACTTATGTTGAATATATATATTTTTTTAAATTTAGATGCTTTTGTTTTGAGAGATGTGTCTTATTATTTTAATCAAATGATTTTATGAGTAATGTATTGAATATATAAACGGGTCTAGAGAAACATATGAAAAAAAGAATTGGTTTTTAAAATTTTTTTTTTATGAAAGTAAATTGCTGACGCAAATAATGTCAAATGAGTAATATAATTTTTTTTTGCGACGGCCTTTTGCTGTGGCAAATAATATCTTTTGTGATGGTTAAAACCCATCATAAATGAGTTTGTTGAGACTGTCTCTCAATGTGGTTATTAATATCTTTTGCGACGGAATAAAACTGTTATAAATGGGTTTGTTGCGACGGTCCCCTATTGTGGGTAATAGTATCTTTTGCGACAAATTTTAATCGTTGCAAATAAGATTTTTTGAGACGGTCTCCAACTATGACTAATAATACCTTTTGCGACAGATTTAAACCATCGCACATGAGTTTTTTGCGACGAAAAATTGCTAATGCAAACAAAAAAATGTCGAATATAAGATTTTTTTGCAACGTTGCATTTCCATCGGGGTTTCCCGATGCAAAAGCTTTTGTGACGGTTAATTGCCGATGAAATTTTTTTTGAATCGCTTATTATTTGTCACTCTCAATTTGCCGACTTAAAAGATTACATAATAGTATTTGCGACGGCAACATGATCTATTGAGTCGACAAATTGTTGATGCAATTTTCTTGTAGTGAAGTGGTGGGCTCAAACTTTTTGTTTTAAATGAACTTAATTTTTTAATTCTTTTTGGTAGATAATGTGGACCTAATATTTTTATCTTTGATTTTGGGTGGGCACAAATAATATATTATACAATATATAATATATATACTTAACTAATAAAAAAAAAAATTTATGCCTCCCTCTGCCTATGAATGTGATGTGATATCACTTACCAATAATATTAAAGCAGATAAACAAATGAACCCTACAAAAATTGATAATCAATTCGGTACGTAAACAAATAGCTCTCCAATCTTCCTCTATGTAAGTTTAAGTGAGACTCACTTTGTATATTTGAGATTTTATTATTGATTGGTAATATCATATTATCAATAATGATATAGTATTACCGTTATATTCAATAATTAATCGACAAGGTGGTGCTTAGTTGATAAGAGATTTGTTTAGAGAGCAGCAAACAAGGATAGAAAGGAGGAATTTCATCAATTTTAAGAAATTATGACATTATTTTTACCTTTTGACTGCCAATTATTGGAGGAAAATGAAGTCAACTCACGAATTAGGTATTTTTAACGCTTACAAATTCGAACTGATCTAAATTTCATCCGATAAATTTACGAATTTTATTTTTATGGTCTATATCCAAATTTGTCAATAATTCAAAATTCGATCCAAAAATTCAATTCGATATGATGAACTTAATTTAACTAAAATTAAAAAATTACATCTAAATTCTTCAAATAATCACGTAATTTCTTTAATATTTATACATAAATATATACGTCTTTTGAATTGGATTATAATTGAATCGAATATATGTATATCAAAATTTGAATCTGTAAAATATATAATAATGTATTTAAATTATCGATAAAAAAAATTAAACTATATCGGATTTTTTGGATTAGGATCAAAATATGATCTATTGATAAACCTACTTACAATTATTTTAAACAGAATTTATCAACTAACCACTTTAATCTAAAATCAAATGAGAATGATTTGATTTAAGGTAAAAAAAAAAATTATGGGTGTTAATCATGTTGTGTTCGTGTAATCCGCAAGTCATGTTATTTGTGTCGTGCTATTGTTATTCGTATTGTATTCGTGTCAAAACTTATAAAAAAAATCTATTTAATATATTTTGATTATTAAATATTAGTTTAAATTATTTATTATGTGTATTTAATAATCGTGTCAATTTTATAATTATTTAATATTATTTATTATACGTATTTAATAATTATGTGAATTTTATAGTCCTGTGGACGAGGTTCGGGTTAACGCGTAAGAGTTCCCACCCTAATAAAAATTGAAGTAGCCCATGATTAGGAGTCACCTGCTGGCTGCCTAGATTTGCTTTTGTTTCTCAACCTGTCGACTCTGTGCATCAAAAACAGAAACACGTGGCTTGTGCATGGCGAAAAGAACAAACCCATTATGGCTCGTCGGATTAAATCATATTAAAATACTAAACTGATCAAATTGCCAAACTAAAATTTGTTCCTTAATAATGACATGTTTGGACTCAATTTTTTAAAGATGAAAAGCTGAGGTTTAAAAAGTTATAATTAAAAAAAATCTCTCAAAATTATTTGGGGAATTTTTTAAAAAAAATAAAAAAAGTTGTTTAGATTTACTTTCTAACCAAAATATGAATTTCAAAATTTTTACATCACTAATAATATTTTATGAATATAATAAAAAAAATTAGGTGAGTTCCGCGGTAAAACTTTAAAAAGTTAAAAAAAAAATCTCAAAAAATTGATTTTTTGAATCGGTCTAAATAATTATTTTTGGGTCTAAAAACTTGCTGCATAACCTGTTAAAAAAATCGAGGTCTAAGCAAACCTGATTTATTTTATTCCAAAAACCTTTAAAAATTACTTATTTAAGCTAGCTTCAAACATGTCCAATATCTTATTTTTTTGGAATAGAGGCCTCTATAAGATTTAGACCACTAATTTTGGTCCAAATTTTTTTTATTAAAATAAAAGTGGTGTAAATCTTAGGGAAACACCAAGGAAAAGTAAAATTTTAGTACCAAATAGAAAAATAGGAAAAATAAAAAAATAGTAAATTTTATCTAGAAAAATGATAAACTCAAAAATTAAGTATACCTTAAAAGTTAATAAGCTCTACCCAAAATAATTTTTTGGTAAATGGTACGGTACTCTTTGTTTTTGTCCAATACCATAATCAAAACCCTAAAATTAGAGGACAACATTGTTCACGGAGTTGCCATAAACAAACATGTTACACAATGGTAATCAAAAATAGGACGATAGTTTTTTCAATCTCACTATAAATTAATTTAAATTAAAATTCATTGCTAACAATTATTTTTAGAGATAGTAGAAAAAATCATATTGACTGGAATGCATTAGTTGAGGTGTACGTGAACATGCTCATGCACTTAAAAAGAAAAAAAAGAAGTCATACCAAAAGAAAAATGAAAATCTATGACAAAAGGTGATGACTACTAATCTGGCTGGTACTAAACCTACTTCGCCACGTTTAAGCCAGAATCCGATGCTTACCCGCACATGCATCCCGCCAAGTGTCTTCATTTTTATCTGTCTTGTATAAAAATGCTGTTACAATCGGAGGGCTATCCCAACTTTGTCTTCATAACCATGGTAAACTTTCAACTGTTTCTCCACTGTTCCTCTAACCCTTGTTCATATTCTTCTTGTTACTTGTTACCCTTTTGATCGATACACCAACAGCAACAAAAGAAAGGAAAAAAATGGAGCGTTTATGGACGTTTCTCACTTATGTTCATGCACTGGCAGGGTAGGCAACATGTTTGTAGCTCTAATGTTGTGTGTGTGTGTGTGTGTGTGTGTTGAGATTGTTCAAGGACAAAGTTAGATATATATCTTTGATTTTGTTAGTGTCTCATCTTTTATCTTATTTGGCTTTTGCAATAACTACATGCAGGCCAGTGCTGATGCTGCTATACCCTTTGTAAGTACACCACCCCCCCCCAACCTCTCTTTTTGGATTTTCTATTCATTTTTTTAATTTTTTCTTTTAACTGTTTTAATTATTGAAAAATTCGTAAATAATTTCTCTCTATACCATTGTGGGTTGCACTGTTATGTTGTTTGATAAAGATATGCATCAGTAATGGCTATAGAGAGCCCTTCTAAACTGGACGATTAGCAGTGGCTTGCTTATTGGATCCTATATTCATTTCTCACTCTTATGGAGATGCTACTCCAACCTATGTTAAAATGGTAAGGAGACTTTCTCAAAAGTAAATTATGTCAGAATGACGGGCGTCTCGTATAGTCCTATGTTTCTAACAAGTTTTCATTTGGAGAATCAAACAACCTAGTAGAAGGTAAAATATGATATTTTCGGGTTTTTATTTATTTATTTATTGGGGTTTGAAGGATACCAGTATGGTACACTGTGAAGCTAGCATTTGTGGCATGGCTGGTTCTACAGCAGTTCAGAGGGGCAGCTTTCATATATGAGAAGTTGGTTAGGGAGAAGATAATCAACAAGTATGGATTGCTAAATCACTATAAGTATCCTGATGGCAAGGGCAAGACCAAGTTTGTGGCCTCCATCACCCCCAAGAAAGTGAGTGAGCTGCATACTGTCTCATTAATATTAGTGATGCTTCTAGTAAAATTCTTAACAAACACACACACTGTGAGGATTGTGAATTTCAAATTAGCCTTTTCAATCGTGTCCGCTGAGGCAGGTTCGTTTAAAAAAATATTTCACTCATATTTAATTTGTTTATTAATTCATGTATAAGGAATCGTGTAATATTAGGTTTGTGTTATATATGAACCATATTTAACTTATATAAATGAGTCGTGTCGTGTATTTCTTTTGATTAATTTTATTCATACCCAATTCATTTATTAATCGTATCGTATCTGGTCCACTCGTTTGAGAAACGGGTGGTTTAAAAAAAATTAAACTCTTTAATTTGGTGTCGTATTTATGCTTTATTAATGGATTGTGTCATATTTTGACACTTCTATTTTAAATAAAGATGGAAGTAAAGATCAAAATCATTTCGGACATTTTGAAATTCGAAATATTTTATTTCAACAATATTAATTGAAATGCACCCAAACATCTCGAAATTTGATCTGTATAGGGAATATTTACTTTTTATACAAAAATTTTATTTAATGTGTGGCTGCTTTTTGATCTCAGGGAGAACACGAGGCGTATTGAAGAAGGAAGAAGGGCATGGCTATTGCTTCTGTGTTGTGTGTGGATGCTGCTTGTTCTTTCTGGCTTTGGCTTCATTTTGGTGGTTCTTCTAGTCTCTTAACAAATAGTTACGCTTTGTAAAAATTCATACACACCTTTGTATATAAATTTTCGTACTTTTGTTAATCAATCGTGTCAATTTCTTCACAAAGGTGGGGTTTACAAAGCCATGTAACACTTGTAATAAAATTGGATGCACGATGAAATAATTGTTAATGTCAATTACTAAATTTTACGAAATTGGAAATTTCTTTTTTTTTTTTTTAATTATACTTTCTTTATCCAAAGTGTCAAATTGTTTGAGCTTAATTCCAAGATAGTTTAAGATAAGTTGTAAATTCAGACATCTTGAGTTTAAATTTTGGTAATTTCTTAGGAATAGGTTATGCAGAATTTATCCCTCATGACTATTTTAGTTCCCGTATGGATGGTTTGTCTTTGATCAGACTGAGAAGAAGATTAATTGAAGTGTGCATAAGTTAATCCGAATATCCTGATCGTTAAACTAAAAAAAGAAAATTGTAGCAGCTTAATTATTTTATCCGTTATGTCTTGCAATTAATCCACGGAATTTCCCACTTGCAAATTGACATGATGTCAATTTGGGAAAGCTGCATGAGGAAGAATAAAATAGTCAAAAATTAAAATGCAATACACTCGTTTCCTCCTTGTTTCACGAATCTAGAACTCTTTTTATTGAGCGTTGTAATTGCTGGTACCCCACAGAGGAGTTTGGTTCTGACCGTGAGGAACCTAGGAACCGAGGAGGTGGACCAGAGTGTATTCCCTTGTTTAAGAAATATTAGGAAAAGGTAAGTGATAATATAAACGAGTTATAAATTCAGACCATTTAAATTTAAATTTTGATAACTCTTTCAGAACATGTCATGAGGGATTATTCCTCATAAATTCTCTAGTCCCGGTGTGGATAGTCTGCCTTTGACTGGCGTGAATGGTCTGTCTTTACACGTAAGGTGGTTTGAACACCCTTGACCGTTAAAAAAAAAAAAAATTCAAGGGAAGAAAACAAATACCATGTAACACTTAAAACTTGAAATCTCACTTATCACGTTGCATTGTGGAAGACATATTTTTTTTCTGAAGAATTGAATTGTATAATGGAATTGGACTTGTAATTAAAAATATAACCACTCTTAATAAGTTCCTATAAGAACCTAACAAGAATATACTTGCAAGTATTGCATATAATTGGTGTTTATACCCCAACTTCAATATTGCTGAAGGTTGGATTGCAGAAATTCGTGAGCATTCAAGTTCGAGTTCTATTTTATTTTCTTTTTTTTAAAAAAAATAAACCCTAGAACTTAATCAATTATATAATTAAAACAAACCCTTGAAGTTTAGATTTTTTTTTTAATTTATTAAAAAAAATGAGAGAGATCCCTGTATATGATCTAGATTTATACACATATAAATCTAGGATTGTTAATCTTTCGAATAGGGATTGATTTCTAGAAAAATCAAAACTATTTATGAACAAAAATTACTCTAATTGTGTTACAAATTACTTAAATTCAGCTCATTTTAATAATTATTCTTAAAATTTTAATTATCTTTAGTGAAATATAAATAGATTCATGAAGTTTAATTACTGAATGGATTTCTAATGATATATATGTTTGGAGATTGGTAATAGACACACTGGTCTCATAGTCTAATCAAGCTTATGAATAGTTTGAGACCATTTTCTACTTACTGTCAACAAGTCTTCTCGAAAATACCTTCCGTCTCTGAGAGACACGTAGCAACGTCACCGCTGCTTGGCCTCGACCACGTGTCGGAATTCTGTCATGCGGTGGTTGCCACCCCATCTCTTCCGCCTCTTCGGTGCAAATGCCACTTTGTTCTTTTATAAACCTAAACCATCTTCGTTTCTTCAACAGCTTAACTCTCTCTCTCTCTCTCTCTCTCTCTCTCTCATACACACACACACACATACACAGATATAGAGAAGCCATGGATTTGATCCACCGGTTCCTGAACCTAGTAGCGCCTCCTGCGACCTTCTTCACCCTCTTGTTTTTCGTACCACCGTTGTATTTTTTCAAGTGCTTCCTCTCATTTGTAAGCTCGGTATTCTACGAAGACGTCACCGGCAAGGTCGTCCTTATCACCGGTGCTTCCTCCGGCATTGGCGAGGTAAACATTAATGTAGGTTAAAAACTAGGGCAAGCCAGGATATGCATGGGCAATTAAATTATTTAAGATTCCATAAGGAGAATATTTAATTTTGTGACTTAATAATAATTTGAACCCAACTATAAAAGATTTATTAGGCAACTAAGAAAGCGTTTTAGAAGAAATGGAAGTAAGGCATGATTAGAGAAAGTTAGCTAAACTTAATCAGTAATCCTATCTATTTATATATAGATAAATTAGGAGGTACAGATCTAATATAATGAGTAGAGACAGTTACTAAATTTGAGAAGTAATCGTTTTTATACATATTTTGTTTTATAAGTGGTGTGTATCAGATGGCTACTCTCCTAGATTGACTACACATTTTAAGCCTGTGAGTAATAATTTAGTAATTATAAATTGAAGATGAGATGGGTCATGAGTAAGACTACCAAGTTGAAAGTATTCATTACTTTTTTATTCTACTTTGATGGCAAAATAATAACCTAATGCATAAACATTGTAATCTTGGTAAAACCCAGTTAACCTACTTTTAGTCGAGGTGAGATATAAACTCACATGTTTATGAGCTTGAGTCATGGGCGAAGCCAGTACTAGCCCAAGAGGGGCACTTGCCTAACCTGAAAAAAAAATAAAATTCAGCCATATATGTTATGTATAATTTTCATATTGTTTTAGTTATGCTTACCCATTGTCTAATGGTGCCCACCCATGATCCACACCACTTTTACTCTTTTTTTCTGTCATTCATCTTATTAACAATTTTGAAGCTCAACATAAAATCAACAGTTCGGGACAGAGTATAGGGAGAAACGAGAAACAGGAGAAAGAACAAGCAGCAATAGTGATTTCAACGCCTTACTTTTCGAAATATAACAATTTATTAGTATGAATTGTAAATAGTTTCTCTTCAAAAGGAAATTGTAAATAACTTTAATTAATCTCCTTGTTTATAAAAGCTTATAATTAGTATTTTTAATTGTTTTCGATTTTATATAGCATGCTTTTGGAATTTTGGCTTTTTTGGGGTAATTTCTAAATATTAAACGTGATGTCATTAATCATAACTGTATAATATTAATTTTATTAATCACAAGTAAAAGAAAATTAAAACTTGTTATAATGTTTAGTGTCCACCCAGAAATAATCTTCAACCTCCGCCCCTGGCTCAAGCATACCCGATCTTATATACTATGCAGATTTAGGGGATGATTGTCTAATCACACAAAAAAAATAACAACAATAATCATAAATCTTCAGTGGTTCTATAATAATTGGAGCAATACTAATGAGACATACTTTATTAACCTAATTTACTATAATTATTGAATTGATTATAGGTCCCATCAAAATTTAAAACTTGATGTTAATTCAATAATCTATATCTATACTATTTATAAATCTCAATATTTGAGAAATATTTTTGATTTTTCTATTTTATCCTTAGTTATTATAATAAAGTCAATTATACCAACTTATATACTTTCATTTAATTTATGTTTTTTAAACCTATTTGACTTTTAACTTGTTTTGAACTATTTTATTTTATAAATATATAGTTGTCAGGTTGAATTCCACGTCCAATATATGTTATATTTTATTTTTTGGTATGAAATAGTATATTATAAATGATCTAATTTATTTATTTAATAAAATAAAAATTAATAATTATATTATATAATTAGATGTGCAAATGTCTAAAAGGATTGGAGAGATACCTAAATAAATAACAAATTAGGTACTCAAAAACTTATAAATTGATAATTAAATTTAGTAATAATTAATTATTCAACACATAATTTATTATTTAATTTAATTAAATATTTAATTCACATTTTTTTGTAAAAATAATATTATTTGAATGTGTTTATAGGGGCAACACACATTATGCATTACTAGTTATAATAAATACATGTCATTAGATTAACAACTTATATCAGCTCTTATTTGTTGATATTCTCTCCCGATCCACCAAGTTCAACTGATCAGATAATTTCTTCTGTCAAAATGGGATCATTGGTGGCTTCATTCTAGAGAATCAGAAATTATTAAAAGACTAGAATTTTTAAGTGTAAATAAGATTACTCTAATAATTGCATGATTCAAATTACAATTATTTTTGTTTTGTATTTTCAGCATCTGGCTTATGAGTACGCGAAGAGAGGGGCATGTTTGTCTATTTGTGCGAGGAGAGAGCATCGTCTTCGCTATGTAGCTGAGAGGGCACTTGAGTTGGGGGCTACCGATGTTATAGCTGTTCGTGCCGATGTTTCCAACGTTAATGACTGCAAACTCCTCGTTGATGAAACCTTGGATCGCTTTGGCCGCTGTAAGTTTTAATTATTTGCAAACTGACCCTTTCTAGTTGATTGTATTTTTCATATTATTACATTTCTTCCCAAGCTGAAAAAAGGGGTTAGAATTGTGATTTGGAAAGCATAAAATGATGGATATATGGCTTTTTGTATTAACAGTGGATCATCTGGTAAATAATGCTGGGATCAATCAAGTGTGTCTACTTGAAGAAGCCGATGATATCACTGATTACAGACCCGTTATGGTAAGCCTACATAGCAGTTTCAATGCTACGCCTTAAACCACTCGACCATGTCTTCTACATATTGATTATGACCCAAAAACAGACTCATTGGGACATCATTTAAATAATGAAGTTCTCTATTTTCTTTTTATGCATCAAAAAGAGATTGTTTACCAAATATTTAAAGCCTTACCTCATTAACCAAAGGTGATCTTGGTTTTCACATTCACAATGCTATTTGGATTGACATTGTCATTGGATTGACATTGAGTCCTAATAATCTTTGGAAACCTGCTATCAATCTAAAAAATGTAATGAATTAGGTTAACAAATTATATAGAACTTTTGAAAACCGGTTTGCGAAGAAAAGGTGATCAAGAATTCATATACATACATCTAACCCATGTGGGATTGTAGAAGAGTTCAAGGATCTGAGTCCCAAGTACTGGCTAATCCCTGGCTCCAATAGCGCCATGATCTAGGCTGTTTTGAAGGTGAATTGGTGTGGTTGCTAATGCTATTAGGTTAGCAAATTAAATGCAAGTAACCTTAGAAGTCTCTTTAGATCCTACTTTCAAAGGTGATTCGTGCATTGCCGTCTTCACAGGATATAAACTTTTGGGGTTCAGTTTATACAACCCGGTTCGCAGCTCCACACCTCAGAAACAGCAAGGGTAAGATCATTGCCCTCTCTTCAGTTGTTTCATGGTTGCCTGTGCCGAGGATGAGCTTGTACAATGTAAGTCATTCAATTAGTAGTTATACATGCTCTTTCTACTTTCTGTAGTATCTGAACTACTTCTGATCTACAATTCCATGGTTTCTTGTAGGCAAGCAAAGCAGCGGTCATGCAATTTTTTGAGACCCTGAGAGTTGAATTTGCGCCCGATGTCAAGATCACAATAGTGACTCCTGGACTTGTAGAGTCCGAATTAACTCGAGGCAAATACTTGACCAAGGGAGGGAAACTGGTACTTGATCCAGAAATGAGGGATGTAAGTTTGCATTTATTTGTCCATCCACTAAGCATATAATACCATCATTGCTCTGCATACTAACAATCAAAATTGTATGCTTGTACACTTAGGTTACTCTTCCAACTCATTCTTTACAAAGTTATAATCATGCAGTTAAATTTGTGTCATGTATAAGCCGTGTTTGACAGTATTTATGTGAATTCTAATGGATTCATTTACTAAGCACAATTAACCCAATAATTTCATGTTAAGCTTTTATATGGTTGGGTCGTGGATGTGTGCCTTGAATCAAGAAAAGAATGTTTGCCTTTGATCAATTGGAACTATTTTTTGAGCAGGTACAAGTGGGCATAGGACCCGTTGCTACAACAGACTACTGTGCCAAGGCAATCGTGGACGGTGTGTGCCGGGGAGATAGATATGTGACAGTTCCAGCATGGTTTAGGGTCACCTATCTATGGAGGGTCTTCTGGCCTGAGGTGATTGACTGGACATACCGATTACTGTTTAACCCAAGGCCAGGGGCCTCACCGGAGGAAGCGCTTAGCAAACGTCTCCTGGATCTCACTGGAGCACAGAAAATACTTTACCCAGAGACCCTCCAGATACCTGCTGAGCAGAAAGGGGATTAATATTAAACTGTTTAGAGCACTGTGTGTGTGTATGTGTTGAAGTTGTGAAGAAAAGGCCTTAGTGTTTGTGTTAGTCTTCAGACCCCTCTTGAATATTATTCTGTATACATAAATAAATCAATGATGTTTATTATTTGGCATGGAAGTTTTCTTGGTGTCAGTGTGCAACTTCTCCTCATAATGGAAATATGTTTCAATACCCGAGCTTCGTGTTATTATGGGATTTAGTGATGGTGAAAAATTGTTTCTGTGACTTGAATATGTGATGATCAGACCATAATAGAATAACGATTTGCTGCCTTGTATGTTTCAAGCTTATGGACGCTTAAAGCTCGCACCTTCACATCTTACGTTTAGGTTTTATTGACTTGCTTGCTGATGAGAACTTTCCCTCGGGTTATGTGACCTGAGTACCACGAGCTCTATGCTAGAGCAAAAAAGAACGGCACCCCGATAAAGTCCAATATATATGTATGAAATTTATATTTAGATAGATTTTAGTTTGCGTCTCAGTCCATGTCTTACTTTAGGGAGGATTCAAAGGTTAATAATTTCACCATTCCATTGAGTTAAAGACTCAATAGCTTTTACCACTACATCATTACTTCCTGGTGACTGGCACAGTAGCCATACTATGACTTCAATTCAAAGTTCCATCACTAAAACTAGTCCTTATGAGAGTTCAATCAAAGATTGTCACTCTTCGGTTCTCATGACTCAATATACACTTCGGAACTCAATACTATATATAAGATTAGGATGTATGTAGTAAGTACATTCATATTCTATTAACAATTTTACCAACAAGTGGCTGCTACCAATCGATTTTAAATGTGAAACACAAGGCTGAAAAGTGAAATAAAAAAATAAGAGTTAAAAATGCTCTTGAAATTATTAGAAGTGTTTTCGAAAAAGTTGATTTTTCCTTTGATGCCCTTAAATAAGTCCCTTTTTTCAATTTTTCCTTATTGTTGATAAAAATTGTTTTTGCCCAAAAAAACTAATGGAAAAGTCGCCCCCAATAACAGGCATCTTTTTCTCTGAAACCAAAAAAAGTTGAACTTTTAAACCAACTCCAAACATGCACAATATATTATGATGTTTTTAGGTGAAAATATTGATGTTTAGGAAGAGATGGCCCAAATTTTTTGATATCATCTCCTCTCTCGGACATGTCTTCTTAGTAAAATTTCTATTGTTTTTCCTTGAAATGCACAAGTTGCAGGCTATTACAGCTCATTTGTTCGGCTTTTAGTTTGGGGCCACACAATCTCCTTTATGGAACAGACAACCTGTTCGTCTTTTGTTTGATAAGTAATGTTATATTTATCAATTTTCTTATCAAGTTTGTTATCTTAAGTAATGTAATATAATTTTCATCGCTAAATATTAATAGAACTCACTTATATGATAGTGAAAATTATGCTACATCACTTAAGATGGAAGACTTGGTAATAAATTTTGGTCAGCATAACGTTGTTGTTTAATTCTTGAAAAAGTCTCTACGCATATAATTAATCAGAAGATTAATCGTCTAGATCAAGAATTGAGAAGTTTTTTTTTGGGTATGTTGGTCCACTCTAATCACACGACGAGAATTGTTCAATCAAAATTTAACCCCATTATTTGTGTTAAACTTATGGGCATGCGTAATGTTGGGTAATCCAGGGGCGAGGGAGGCATAGGTCAAGGTGGGCAAGTGTCCGTATGCAACTATGGAGTCTTAAGATTAATAAACTCTATTATCTATCCAATGGTCACAAATTATTTGATCTCTATCAATTAAATCTCAAATTAAGTACAACTAATATAACTGTTAACTTTTAGACATGTCCGAATATGGTTTGAATATATTGATATTATTTTATAATTTTTTAAAATTGTATGGTTATTTCGTTATTGTATAAAAATGTGTGTTGTTATATAGTAAATCTATAGAATCGTAAATGGAAGATTGTTATTGCGATTTTATATATAAAAGAAATATTGTTGATAAAATTAATTTGTAACTATTTCAAATAATAAAAACATATCAGAATCAATTATAAGTAATAATAATTAGTTGTATTCTCGATAAGAAATTTTAATTATTATTTTTTTGTTCATGTTATGTATATCGATTTTTAATTTTTTATGTTTAAAAAGTATTAAATATAATTTTAATAAATATAAAATTTTGAACGGTCTATTAAAAAAAATTAAAACATGCTAATGTGTTTACCTAAAAAATTTTTCTTGCTCCGCCTCTGTGGGTAATGCGACAGAATCTTGTTTATACAACGCTCGTGCTCAGTTGAAATGTCCAGAGTGTGACCATTCTCACCACGCAGTTGTGGTGGGCTGAATTTCGCTCTTTTCGGCCTAACTTCTAACATCTCTATACCAGAAATGCAGCGCACAACATTAATAGACTAAGGTTTGGATCTGATTGACAAGTTTATGAAGATAAAGTCCACCATCTACTTATCAGAATACCAAAGAGTTTAACAAGAGATGGATTTAATTCACAAGTTCTTGAACATTGTATTTCCACTGATATCACTGATAACTATACCTCCATTTTTGGTGTTCAAATCTATAAATTTCATTGTGAAATGGGTATGCAGCGAAACCGAGAATGTGGCCGGAAAGGTTGTTCTCATCACCGGAGCATCTTCTGGCATTGGAGAGGTTAGTGCAATTACCAATTGCTTCTCTTAAGCTGTCTCACAAGGCATCTGAATTCATTCATATTAATATATCTTCCTCTGGTTTTAAAGCATCTTGCTTATGAGTATGCCAAAAAAGGAGCTTGTTTAGCCTTGGTCGCCAGAAGAGAGGACTGTCTCCAGGTGGTTGCCGGGAAGGCCCAGGAGCTTGGCTCTCCTGATGTGATCAGTATCCGTGGAGATGTTTCAGAGGTTGATGATTGTAGAATATTTGTTGCTGAAGCAATGAACCACTTTGGAAGATGTGTGTATGACATTTCTTTCAATTTTATGGCACTTGTACTTTTTTTTTTGTACGAGAGCAACTTCTCCAAACATGGTCACATCAGATTCACCATTAAACCGAATACCTACAATCACGCATTAATCACAGGTATCGGGTAATTTCAGAAGTTATCAACGAGAATTGAACTCATGACAGACTTTTATGCTCTATGCTTCTATGTAGTTCATAGGGAGAAATCTGTTCATGGAAAATCTCTGATTCTCTTTGTTGTTTTTAAGAAAAAAAATGGGTTTCTTCTACGATTTGAACCATACGATTCCAATGCTTGATGACTTCAATGCAACAGTGGATCATCTGGTGAACAATGCTGGGATAGCTCCAGTCTGTATGTTTGAAGATTACGCAGATGTCACTAATCATGCTTCAGTTATGGTAATTACCCTTTTACTCTCTCTGTCAATTCTAACTCAGCATTAGATAGACTAGGATTTTATGCGACCAATGAGACTTTAACTTCGTACTTGAAATTTACATTTGCTTCAACCACTGAACCAACCTATGCGGGTTAATCTAGCTTGTTTTACGGCTCAGAGAATCAGCATTTTCCTTACAACTATTCAATATCTGGATGATTTATCATAAAATGAACTTGGGTAGCTAGGTAGAAAAGTTACTAACAGTGTTGATGCTGACTTTTCCCAGAACATAAACTTTTGGGGTTCAGTTTATAGTACCCACTTTGCAATTCCACACCTAAGAAAGAGCAAAGGGAAGATCATTGTGATTTCTTCATGTGCTGGATGGTTACCCACTCCAAGGCTAAGCTTATACAGTGTAAGAAATCTCACAGGTGAGTTCTTTTTGCCCTGTTGCCTCTGTTCTTTGCTCAATCAATCTGTTTGTTTTTTGGGCGGTTTTAGGCAAGCAAGGGAGCTCTAATAAGCTTCTATGAGACACTCAGAACTGAGGTTGGTTCAGATATTGGGATAACAATTGTGACTCCTGGGTTGATTGAATCAGAAATTACACAAGACGAGTTTCTAACAAAGGTAGGGGCTTTTAGCTACCGTATGCAACTAGTTCTTCTAATAACGATGACTAACTTTTATCGTCTACTTGAATGTGAATTACTGGTTAGGCTAAACTGAAAATCATCCCAAGGTTGTCGACAGAAAGGTGTGCTGAGGCAATTTTGAACAGCACATGCCGCGGAGAGAGGTACTTGACAGAGCCGGCTTGGACCAGAGTCATGATGTTATGGAGATTGTTGTGTCCTGAGGTACACGATGGGTGTAACCACTTCTTCTTGATCGATAGGCCAAACCATGAAAGAATGATGCAAAACAACAGGATCCAGGATCAAAGTGCAGAAAGGAACTACGTCAACCGGACTTCAGTTGTCTCTCTCGAGTTCAAGGCAGACTAAGATCATTAAGTACCTATTGAAAATGGTTGAAGCTATTGTAGTGAAAGTTGCTGTGACGAGAAACTTGTGCCAGTGAAGATTGCTTCAAATGATTGGAAAATAACAAATATAAAAATCATTGCTTCAATGATAACGACGACTAGTAAACTTACTGCCCCTGCAAAAAAAAAATCACAAAGTAATTCAGATTGAAGTAGAAAGAAAATTAGCAGAAATGTAATGCATTTGGACGATTGATAATGATTTTAATTATCGATAAAACCCATTCAGTAACTTGGTAATGAATGTAATGTCAGCAAACTTCACTTCTATTATCCAAAAACAGAATGAAATTTGTACTCAATATTATTCGAAAAACCCATCAACCAGGTTATCCTTTGTACAGCACACGCCCCCTGTAAGTAGAAGACCGGCCAGCTTGGCTTCACTACCCAATGGAGTCCTATTTCATATTTTGGGTCAATACTAGCACACAATGACATTCCCCTTCCATTTTTCTTTCAAAAGTCTAATCCCCTTTTCTTTACTTTTGTCGGCTACGTTATATTCTCCTTTTCATTTCATTCAGTAAAATATAGACCAGCAATTATCCGAACCACTGAACCCATTTCTCCCTTTCAACCACATGAGCGAATGATTCCACCTATTCACCACCTGATTCCGAGCCCAGGGGTTCACGATTGCAACCAACCAACGGTGTGACCAGTTGCAACACTAAACGTTCTGTCATCAGTACTTCCCAGAGTGTGCAGAACATTACTACCTTTATGAAAGCAGAGCAGGGCCATTGATGCTTGCCTTGGCATTTGTCCCAATAAAACAGATAGCTGCATCATTCATATGATAATGCAAAGCTCTTCCATACATATGGTAAAAATAAGAATAAACCAAAAAGTTCTACAATATGTTCTACCAAAATTTTAACTATTTTCCTACTCCCATGGCAAGGAGAGAAACAAGTCAGTTGGATTCCGCTGAGAACATAAGGCATTCTCATTAGTTCAAAGAACATACAATCCAGAGAGAAGTCCGGGATATGGTAGTACTCCTAGGTCATTCTCTGTGCGGCTTCCTTTGCAAGAACTCTCTCCTTGGCCTTGGTTTTGGCCTGTGATTTGGAGCCCATAATACCACCTCCCCACTTCTTTCGGTACTCATCATACTTGTCATTGAAGTTTGCCTGAAACAGAAATCTTAAATATTTCAGAACTAATGATAACTAACATGAAGAAAAGTAGAATCCATGATCACATGTAAAAATAAGTGCAAATACAATTATTAAATCACCTTGATTGCCTCCAGGATTTTGCTGAACTCTAACTTATCCTCATTCTTAACCGTGGTCAAACACAATACAGCTGCATTTTTCTTGTGGACTATCTGTTAGAAAGCCAAAGACAAATAGATCAATAACGAAGAACACCATTTTGACAAGAAGATTTATCCATTGATGAGCTAATATTATACCGTTCCCAGTCGTGATTTTCCCTTTACGATGCAGTAAGGGATCTCCATTTTCCTGCACAAGGCAGGAAGCCACACAACCAACTCTATCGGATCCACATCATGAGCAATTACCACCAACTGTGCCTTACTCTGAAATGAAGACATCAAGTTTTCCACATGCAGACTTTTTTAGTTTAAAACACAAATGTGTTCAAAATAAGTATCACAACCAAGAGATAGAGCAACCTGCTCGACAAGGTAGGTGACATGGTTCAGCCCATATTTCACAACAATTGGCTTCTTCAAATCTGAGCTTTTTCCTTCAGCCTCAGCCTGGGCTCTTTTAAGGAGGCGTTCCTTCTTTGCTGCCTTATCCTCAGGCCTATACTTGAGAAGCAACTTGAAAAGGCTTGTTGCTGCAGAACATTGGAGATTCAGCAAAAACTTGGGCAGTATACATCACAAAGACCAAAAAAATGTTCCAACAGATCATAACATATAGCTCCACAATTATACTGGTGAACACAAAATCAAGATGATATAAATAAAACCCCTCAAACAGTAAAGCTGGGGAAGAACCCTTTTTCAAATTGAAACCCCAATCTAAAGTTACAACACAATTCCATCTCCAACTTCCAATTCACCCCAGCCTTTCCCACTTCAACCAAATCCAACTCCAGCACCAAGAACATTCCTATCTTTAGATCTTTCTAGTTTTCTAATGCTCACAGATGCTGTTGATTTTGTGGCTAGGAATAAGAAAAACCACCAAACCGAATGAATTAATTTAATGCATGGATGTCCAGAACATTGCGACGACATAAATATGCTATTTGAAGAAGATGCTATAGAATCATCAGCGCTGTGGATACAGCTGATATGGGAAATTAAAATGGCTCAAGTAATAGAAAATGAGATAAATGGTGGAAAATTCTTAGAGCATACATTCTCATGCACGAAATTAGTACCTTTAACACATACAAATGTACTCACATGTGTGTGTATGTTATAATTATGTCTAGTTTAGTTTACCCAATTTACCAGAAACATTTTGTACAGTATTAATAATAAACCTAAGTGAGATAGTTCTCACCAAGGTTCTTGTCTAGTGTTTTTGTGAACTGGTTCAAAGTTGGTGGGACCTTCAAACGCTGCTTGAGGATCCTCCTCTTCCTTTGAATCCGGACAACCTTTGGCCACTTTACAAACCGGGTCAAATCTTTCTTAGGAGGCAGAGCCCCTCCAATACCAAACTGCTTGGAACGCTTCTCAAAAAGAGGGTTCACAACCTTCTCCTGCATTACAAAGTCCAAACACTATGTTAACACTAAAAACAGGTACACCAAATAATAAATTCCAGCCAGTTAAAAAAAAAAAAAATCCAGTGAGGAGGCCTTTTCAGCTCGGGAATACATGTGGGTTGGAAGGTGCCTAAGCTATGTACGTAACATGTATTGTTTTGGTGTTTTTTTTTTTTTTTTTGAGGTTGGGGGGGGGAATGTTGAGAAACTACCTTCTTCTTAACTAGTACGGAAGTCACTTTTCCTCCTTTCTTTGGGGCCTGCATAGTTCAACACCATAAATATATCATCATCTTGAACAATACCAATAGAGAATACCACTATACTGTAACTGTCAAATATTGGCTCTCGTAAATAAATGCTATATTCATTTATTAGTCTTATCTAGTTAGATTATCACTCAACTGGGAAGGGAAAGGTGTAGGAGAGGTATGGTCACAAATTGAAAATGCATATTGATGTTATATCATATTGTGTTGCACATACAAAAATACCCAGTGCAGAAGAACCCAAGCTTGTACACATTTGTGAATCAACATTGATACAAAATTGAGTATTACAGCAGTATTAAACAGGCTATCACAATTGAAATTTCAGTTGCTTTCTGCCAATTCCCGGGGTTTTGGAACAATCACAACAGCGTTAACACATGCATAAATTAAAATTCCGTCATCAAAATCAGCTGTAAAAAAAAAAAGGTTTTACTTCAAGGAAGCAGAGGAAGTCTACAAAAATATTCTGCCTATATACACATATACATCCTATTTTCCGCTTTCGACGCACTTACATGATTAAGTGCACAACCCAGTATCCTATTGCCAGAAACAATTCAGCTAAACCACAGATTTATACTTCAGGAATCGATATAACAAACAATTCTCGGCAAATACACACTGATATAACGATAATTCCAATACATAAGCTCGCTAAACTACTGGTGATACAAGATTATGGTGGTCTGAGATAAATAAAGATCAAATACGACTTAGTATCGATTTACAGTTTACAAACATCAGGACAAAGTCATACATGAGAGATATAGAGTCATGTACATACAAGTATGAGAGAGTAAGGGATTTGGGAGTTACCATTGTTGAGCGGCAGTGCTCTTCTGAAAACGGCGAGAGAAGAAACCCTACAACGACAATGCTCGCGGAGGCTAGAAGTTCAACAAAAGGATATATATAGTGGTGGGGTGTAGCCATAATAAGTATAAAACATCAGGTGCCATTTGGTCATTTTACGTTTTAGTTGTCTTCCCGGCAGAACCCGGTTCACTGTTGATCCGGATTGTGCTCGTTTTTCCGATTGATGTCTACGGGTGGAGAAAATATTCATTGGAATAATTAGACTACATCAGCATTATCTATATAATATAATAGTTAAATTATTTATCTTAAATTTTTTGCGCCTTAGATCGTTTGAGAAAATTATTGATTCGACGTTCTTAATGCAAAATTTTTCTCCCAATTTTTTGAACAAAATTTTCGTTTCTTCCAAAATTCTGAAACTCTTAACTCTCTTATAATTTCGTTTCTCTCTATCTCATATTATCTGATGTTCATACAGTTCACACGTCTCTTTCAGTCAGCTTTCTCCCTCTCACACAATGTGATAACCAATATAAATATTAATCGCTAACAAATTAATTAGGACGTTATGATTATATACAATTAAAGATTATTTTTAAAAATTTCAAATAAACAAATGGACCTTCAATACAGATTCTTTGCGTGAAAAATGAATCGAATGACTATAATGTAGGTCATATTTTATATTGAAATAAAAATAATATAATATTCGAATAATATAATAGGCGAATAATATATATATATAATTTGTGATATATCTATATCAGCGTCTCTCTTAGTCAGGTTTCTCTCCTTCTCACATACTATGATGGGCAGTTTAAAAATTAATTGTTAATAGATTAATTAGGTTATTAATTATGATTCTATATAATTAAAGATTATTTTTAAAAATTTCAAATAAAAAAATGAACTTTAAATACAGATTCTTTATGTGAAACGATTTGAATGACTATAATATAAGTTATATTTTGTATTGAAATAAAAATATTATAATATTTAAAGTGTATAATAAACGAATAATATTCACATAATTTGTGATAAATCTATATAATAAGGGAGCTAACATTGTTTGTCTTGAACTTTTCGCGACTCAGATTATTTTAAAATTATTGATCAAATAATTGAAACTCCTCTTCCAACAAAAATTTCGCCCAAAAATTACAAGAATTCTTTCAATTTACTCAATTATTAGTTTGAAGTAATTATGATTAGAATTTGATTGTTAAGTATAAAGTATATATTTTTGTTTAAACTTAACATTGCTTGAATTTTACGAGTATTCAAGTTGAATTTAAATTGAAAATTGATTGTAAAAATAATAAAAAATAATTAAAATTTTAAAAAATTATGGTGTCAGTGTGAACGAGAATAGATAAGAATAAGTTTGTAGGTTTAAGATAGAAATATTAATTGAGTTAAACTTAAATTCAAATCCCGATTTGATGTGATTATGATTAAGACTCGAATTGAACTGAATTTGACTATGAAATATAAAGTATAAATTCTTGGTTAAACTTAAATTTGATTGAATTTTCTGAATATTAAAGTTGAACTCAAATGGAAAACTGATTTTAATTTCTCAACAAAAAAATTTACATTTACGAAAATTCGTGTGAAACTTTTGGATGATTTCCTCACAAAAGTTACATAAACCCACATTGGAAAAATAGTGTAGAAAAATCAATAGTTATATTTTTTTAAAAATTTTGAGATAAAGTTTATTAAAAATGTTGAAATTGTGGATGTTTGATCAATAATAATCATATTTTCTCATACGTTTGAATTAATTTGTTGCAATAGTTGTAGCGTGACTTTCGTTATATAAAAGTTTGATTATACATGTTCTACATATAGATTGAACAATGTCAATTTGATCGTTGTATTGTTGAAATTGTATTATACATTACCCTTATTTATGAACAAATATTTACAAATTTTTATGAGTAACGCAGTGCCTTTAGACACGAGAAATTACTAGTTATTTGATATAACCATTAATTAGTTGGATTAATTAATCATTGTCATTAGACCAATCATAGTATTGACTAGGTATTATTAGCCCCTTAACTCGTTATTGCTAAGGCATGCAGATGGTCTATTCAATGGTGTCCCATGTCGAAGTCAAGTTGGGGTGTACTTGGCTAAGCACTCCCACTCTGCAAGAGCACCCCCAAATAGCTTGGTTTGCTTGCTAAATTTGGCAGCAAGTTTTTGAAATGCTAATAGTTGTATGTAACAATAACAATTTTCGTATATAAGTTTTTATGATTTCTCTAGCACCCTAATGTCTACTATTATCAATTTGTTTTCCTTCATAAATATTATTATAATGGAAGAAAGGTGCCCCTCATAGGGGGGCACACCGTTGGTTACCCTTAGATTCCCTAAACTTGGCATGACAAAGCAATACACGACCTCAATAATAATAGTCATGGGTGAGACATGACATGCAAAAGTCCATGCCTCGATACATATGGGACCAAAGCATTGATGAAACCTATTGATGTTGGGGAGCTCCATGCATGGCTAAGGGAGACAACACATCATTGGTGTGTTGGATATAACATAGCAAGACAAGACTTAGTTGCATAGGCTAACTAACGTGCATTGGGTGCTTAGAAGACCAAGACATGGATTGGATATGGATTGACATATTAGCAAAAAAATATCATGTATTGTGGTGTGACAAAGATGGCAATTCCTGATTATGTGCACGATTTAGAGCAATTGGTGATTGAGTTAAGCAGTGGTTATGAAGGCATAACTACTCCCACAATGAACGAGCATCTCTAATTGGTTCAAACAGGCCTAGTTGTTTGTTGAAAAATCACCAGAGACCCTTGGTGCGAATCTAATTAATGCCAACCTATCCTAACATTTGGAAATGTTAATGTAGTAGCAAAAAAAAAAAGGCATTTTGTAAAGACTTTTAGACGGACTCATTTGTACTTGTCAGAAGAAACAAAATGTTGGGACCTTGTGCCTGCTTATTGTGGTTTCTTAAGTGGGTTAGGCTGAGACCGAGTATTGAATCTCAAGTGCCATGACAAGGTAAAAATACGTAAGTAAATTTAGACCTTGGGATACTATTACTCGTCATCAATTTGATAACTATAATGAATTAGGTTTAATTATAAATAATATTACTATCAACTTTTTTTTCACAAAATTTTGAATCCCCCAACGAATCAGTGAGCCATTTTTATTGGAAAATTTTGTCCAACCTTTCCTCAATTTTCTCACTCTCTCTCCTACACACCCAACCCCCTTCTCGTGCCGTTAAGAAAACAAGAAAAAACCTCCCCACAACTCTCTGTCCCTCCCATTTCTCACTCCCCACGCCAAAATTTCATTAGTCACTTCCCTTCCATTCAGTTCCTCCATTTTGTACTTGTTTCCAGTTCCATAACCTAGGGTTCTACCATCTCTCCATACATGTACTTACACAAACACACAGGAACATGTATCTATACATCTCTTTATTCTTGATTCTTTGTTTTCATTGCGATCGAAAATGAAACCATAGAGGGGAAGAAACTAAAAGAAGTTGCTAGTGTTGAAGAGAAAGGAGAAGTGAAAAAACCAGAGAAAATTATGGATGAAGTAGAAGAAAAGTGATAATGCTCGAAATTGACTAGACCGGACAATAGAATAGCCTGGGATGCGGCCTAGCGAGTATGTGTATATGCTAGAGTGTGGGTGTGTATGCTATGTGTATAATGCAAGATGAAGATAATGGTGTGAGTGGTTCACTTTAGCCAAAAAATAAGGTTACGTTCACTGTAAGGGAGGCTCTTGCTCCTTGGGAATTGTATTGCTTGGGGAAGAAAATTGTTGTTACAAGGTATTTGGCTTGAAGCCTTTTATAAGATATTGCCTAGGTTTCTGCTAGGTAAATTTTTGAATGACTCTTTGTGTGTTGTAGCATTGTTGGCTATTTAAACATTTGGCAATTAGGGTTTCGTGTTGATCTCTTTTGCTGATTTTGTGGTTCCCTCTGTGTTTGTCTTGTTCCTGGAGCTGTGGTCCCTAACGTCATTCTGCGCCCACCACTTGTCAGCTGCAGTACGTGATCCGTCTCCACTACCTATGGGTTTTTGTTCATCAAAGTCATCAGGTAATGTTCCCTTGTCTCCTGTTCACGTGTCATACCATAGCTTTTCTAGACTGGCCTAATGGAAAGAGAAGGAATGAGAAGTTTATGGTATAGATGTCTACTAGTGGGTGGCATGCGCTCTACTAGTGAGACAAGGAGAAATCTCAATATTTTGACTTTAATCTCTATCTTGGGATACTAAGTTAGTGCTCTATTGCTATTTGACATGTGTGTAGAGATGACAAATAGAGGACGAGGATATCGAAACGGCCAAAGAGGTGGGCGGAACAACAACCAACCACCACCGGCCTTTGACGAACAAGCCTTCATGGAGGCTATAGGCACAATGGCAATTACTTTTGCACAAGCCAGCGTTAATATGGGCCAAGGGGGCTCGACTAACCTCCAAATATTTAAGGCACACAAGCCACCTACTTTCATGGGAGGGGAGGATCCGATGGTGGCCGAGCATTGATTCCAACAAGTAGATAAGATCATGGAGGCTATGGAGATCACGTTCAATGCTACTAAGATAAGGCTAGCTGCATTCCAACTAGAAGGAGAGGCCCATTTATGGTTGGATTGGTCAAAGGCCTCGAAGAACCAAGAGGTAATAACATGGAGAGAGTTCTAGGAGCTCTTCATGGGCAAGTACTTTCCATTGTCTGTTCGACAAGCGAAAGCCTGAGAATTCTTAGATTTGAAGCAAGGGACTATAATAGTGATAAAATATGTGGCTAAGTTCACTGAGTTAGCTCATTTTGTCAATGATCATGTGGCCACAGACTTGGCCAAAGTAAGGAGGTTTGAGGATGGTTTAAAATTGTCCATCTAGAAAAAGATTGTGGGCTACCGCCTACAAGACTTTGACTTAATGGTCGAGACATCTTTGGCCATTGAGAGAAAGATGGAAGACGCAAGGGGCATCCGGGAGGCGGGTGCTAAGGACAAGAAGAATGAGGGTCAATCCTCTTCTTCTAGTTCAGGGAAGAAGCAAAAGACTTCTACTCCACAAGGG